GTGTTCACCCAGGCATTGAAATTGGCTTGGGTGCTTCAAAACTACAATGCCCTTGCTGTAGTTTAGCCTGCCCTGTAGCTGGGCTGCAAGACCTCTGCTGTGAGATTATTGCACTGCATTTGGGACTCAAATGAAAGATGATGTGTTTCCATGTCAGTAGCCTAAAGAGAAAGACTTCAGTGTCATTCTAGAAAAAGGAGAAGGAGAGTGAAGAGGTCAGTCTGGCAGTTTTGTGTAGAGTGGCTGGGCAGACGGAGAACACAGGTAAGTATAGGCAGTGTAGAGGCTGCAAGACCAGATCTTTCCCAGACCCAGGCAGAAGTAAAGGACTGTAACCGAGCAGCACTAGGAACCACAAACAGGGAAAGTGCTGTGGCCATTTGCACCAGGTAAGGTGTGGAGCTGAAGGGATAGGACAACAAATTAGCTGTATTGGCAGAAGTACAGAAGTTCAGCCAACACACGATTTCCCCAGATGGCACACTCAGGCATCCAAGAAGGCAGAGATCCCCCAAAGGTCAGCATTGCAGGAGGTGGGATTACTTCCCGAGGGGCAGTTTCCTATCAGTGGCTATGGGACAAGATTCTGCTGCTTGTGCGGACAGGATATTTGTTTTCTCAGCTGGAGAGCTCTCCAAATGGCAGCAGCTGAGAGAAATGCAGACACCTTCAGGACAGTAGCAGTCCTCTAAAACTTATACTCTCCTCAGGCTGTCCGAGTTTCCTAAGCAAGAAAGCAAGGATTGCAGTGCACCTTGGAGGAGCAAAGAGCATAAAAGAACAGCAAGGAGCAACTTGATGCTGTCAGAAAATTCTGTTACTGGACTTGGGTACCTGTGCGTAGGAAATTTAATGAGAACCAACTGCTGGGCACAAAGGCAGCAGGCTTTGTGCAAGATCACAATGTGAGGCGCCAGCGTCACAAATTAGTATTTTGGTCCATCTTTGTTCCATTGATGCAGGTCAATGGAAGGGGCCAAGTTTCAGCTGCCAGACAGGGAGCTGAGGATGAGGATGTTGCACTCTATGCAACACTGTCTATTGCATGCATGAAGACAGGAATACACAGAAATCCTAACTCTAAAAAAGAGTCTTAGTGCCCAAATTAGATACAGAGAGCAAGGACTCAGGTCCATGGAGCACTAGGAAGCCTTCTGGGACAAGAGGAGTCTGAACAAGAGGAAAAGGCTTCACTCTGATCTTAATGAAGTGAGGGTTTTGGCCCTAAAATTTCTAAGGTTCCCAGAGTAATATTTAAAGTAGAATCTGGGGGAAAGCAAACAGGCACAGAAGAGCATGTAGTGTATGTAGACTGATGTGATGTTAAAAAGTGAATACATTTAGGGTTCAATGCCACTTGGGAAATACCAGAAAGAAAATGAAAATAAAAATTGCAATAAGTAAGGACAGCAAGTTAGACTGTTAATGCCAGTTCATTTTCACATGCAAAATAAAATGTTGGTGTCAGGGCAAAACTGGCACATCCTTGCATAGAGCCTGGAGAAAGGATTTAGGGATGCTGAAATGGTTACCTTCAATGAACAATGGCCATCTCAAGAGCTGGGGTATGGAAGATCAATGGGATTCAGTGTTACCTTGCTGACAGTTTCATGGCAAGGAAGGAGTCAGTGCCCTCCCTCCCCTCTGCAAAGCTCTGGCCAATGCACTCCTACCTTCCCCAGTGCCAGCAGAATAATCCCTATATGCCGGGGAGGTTTTGGTTGGACATTAGAAATAATTTCTTCACAGAAAAGCTGCCCAAGGGGGTGGTAAAGTCAGTATCACGGGAGTTGTTTAAGGAAAGACGGGATGTAGCACATCCAGTTTCGGCTGACATGGTGGGATTCGTGGGGTCAGCATCGGGGATCTGAGATATTTTCCAACATGCCTTCTGCCGTGGCGCTGTAGCAGCTGACAATCACGGCGCACACTACACAGCCCGCGGGGCCACATCGGTACCGGCGGCACCCCGCCGGCGCTGCTCGGCTGGGCCGGCAGGACGAGCAGCGAGGGGGGGAACGGGAGGCCTCCCTCGAGAGCCGTCCCCAGGCGGAGGCAGCGGCAGCGGGCGGAGCGGCGCGGCCCGGCCCTCCCCGCTGTGGGCGGCGGCCATTGGCCAGGGCCCGTTCCGACATGGCGGCCAGCGCAGTGTCCAACCCGTCCCAGCTGCTGCCGCTCGGTAACCATGGGCATTCCCGGGGCCGCCGTCGGGGCCCGGCCCGGGTCCCTCTCCAAGGGTCGCGGCGGCTGCGGGCCCCTCCGGAGGCCGAGCTGCGCCGGCGCCTGGCGGGAGGCGGGAGCGCGGGAGCGCATGGCGTCAGGCGGGGGCCCGTGCGCGGCCCGGGAGGATAGCGGGGTCCGGGGCCAGCGGAAAAGGAGGGTGGGAGTAGGGGATAGGTGTGGGGGTGTTGGGGTCTGGCGGGTGAGGTGAGCTTGGGGCTGTGGGAGTGTCTGAGGGAGGCCGCTGGGAGTGGGGATGGGTGTTAGGATGGGGGGCGGCGGGGCTGGTTTGTGTGGGAGAGTGGAGGGGGAATGTGTAAGGTTGTGTGGAATGTGTTTCTGTTTGTGTAAGCAAACCCCAAAAACCCCATAAGGCACAAAAGACTTGCTTTGTAGAACGTATGCTTTTATGTGTACCTACAGAACTTGTGGACAAGTGCATTGGTTCACGTATTCATATCGTGATGAAGAGCGACAAAGAAATTGTTGGGACACTTCTAGGATTTGATGACTTTGTCAGTATCCTTTGATGGACGTTTAAGGCTATCTGCTTTATGCTCTGACCTAAGTAATTTATAGCTCTTGAGAGTTTTGGGTTCACTGAATAGAGCCTTTTTATATGGATCGTTGTAGTCTGATATTTTCAACTTTCAGGTTAAATTACATTTTCGCATAAAATGAAAATAGCATTAAATAGCCTAATTTTAAAATCTGGGCCTTATTTTCCTTGAAACTGGATTTTCAGACATGGTGCTGGAAGATGTTACGGAATTGTAAGTATGTTTTTTGCCTCTTGTTGCTATTTAATGTTTGGTTCACTGAGACAAAGTACTGTGTAAGGTTTGCTAGAAAAATGTTTTTTACATTTATGGAATACTTACCAGCTGAGTATTTTAACATTGGACCTAAAACTATAGAAAGTAATTTGTTCAGGACAGCCATGTCATAGAGTAGCTATTGCATGGTTTATACTTGTATGGGGATTCTATTTGCAGTCTTAATTTTGCATGGGTTGTGTGGGAAACTTTCCAGTATTTAATTTGTTTTTACACTTCTTTAAGACCTAGGCAAAGATTTAACAAGGTGGCAAACTTACATATTTTTACTTTGTCATTATGTGTTGATATATCATATTCAAGAAACTGTCAAGCTTTAGGGGGTGAACACACATCTCCATGTACTGAGTAAATAGACCTTTTCAGTTTGCATTCTGCACGAATAGGTGCTCCATTTGTCAAGATCATGCTGCCGTGTAGCTGATTTATGTGTTAGTTCAGGTAATGGTCACCTTAATGCAGGGATTTCTGTCCGTTCTGTCATCAAATCTGGAGCCCTTGTCCCTGGTTCTGTGTTCTTACTTACTCTTTCTAATGCTCCTTCAGTGAGATCACACCTGAGGGGAGAAGAATCACAAAGCTGGACCAGATTCTGCTCAATGGAAATAACATAACTATGGTGAGTCATCGGAGGCTGCATGTGTTGACTTTCTATGCCTGTAAATCAGTCGGTGATTATATTCGACTCCTTTAAGCCAAGCTTTCCGGACAGTTCTGCTATATCAGGAAGTTTCAGGTCGCTTGTCTGCACAGCTGGCCATGAAGCCTGGACTTCAATACAAGGGCATTTCTAATTTTGTGGGAAGAGGAAGGCTTAAGTGGAAAGATCTGAGTCTAAGTTGGCTCTCTATGAATGAGACATTGTCTCTCTTGTGTTGTTTTACCTCTCTTGCTCCTCTGCATTGTGTGTTGGAGCAGGTGCCATCCTGTGTTAATTTCTAAGCCTTTTTTTTTGCTTTGGTTATTGTTCTGCATGTTGAAAGGACAGCATACATTCTGACTCCTTGTGTGGAGTGAAATTCCTACCATCCAGTTAAGCTGGGGGTGTGTTGCCCTTGAAGAAGAACTTGGTGAATTTTCAGCAAGGCAGATACGTTTCTGCATTAGACCTCATGTGTCTTTTGGACATGTATCTTCCCATATCAGGAAGTCCATGCTTTAGACTTACTCTTATTTTGATCCCAAAACCAGTGAAGCTCTTTCTCTTTAGAAGTGCTCAGCTGATAAAGATATCCATAAAAGTAGTGCTTAATCCTTTTTTTTCCCGCTCGTGTTTTTCCTTTTGTATGTCTTTTTATATTCTTCAATTCCTTGCTTTCTTCACAAGGAGGTGCTATGCTGATTTATTCCCTGCTGGGTTTGTACATTCCCTGCAGGTTTGTACATCTCTGGCAATAACTGATTTCCTCTGTTGGGAGAGTCTGAAAGCCACTTGTGGTCTAGCATGAAGTCTCCAAGTCCTAAAATGTTTGTTGTAAAGTAAGAGCTGTCCTGTTTGTAAAGCTTAACTCTATGGCACTAATGCAAAAATGTCTTACTTTTTGTAGCTGGTTCCTGGAGGAGAAGGACCTGAAGTATGAAGACATGATATTCATATGTGCTTTATATATATATATGCAAAATCTAAATAGGGATTTTGGGGTAGAAATGTTAGGGTATGGATCATTCATTTGCTTTGCGTACATACTTGACATTGTACAAAAGACAATTCTTTAGGAAAAGTGCTGGCGGTAATGTTGATTTTGTAAGTTGAAATCATGACTTGTAAAGACACTTGAACCTCTTCTGAATAAAAGACTTCTTTGTTGGTTACTGTGTTCTGTTATGTGAGTGCACAAGTTTGATAATTTTATAACTACTTGATGGAGTAGAAAAATGATGGTTGTGTTTTGGTTGCCATCAGTCTTCATTTTTTCTACATCTGTTGCATTTGTTTCTGGCCCAAGTCTATATAATACACAAGTCATGAGCCAGGACATTGCTGTGCTTTGGCATACATGCAGATACTGTGCTGGATGTTTTGTTCAAAGTCTGTGTCACTGGAAACCATGTGGCAGAGTTCTGTAGAGTTCTGAAAGCCCTTCAGACTGGGTGCATCTGTTTGATGCTCAGCAACCTTTGGTTCTGCTGGCCTTGAGCGGCAACTCTTGTGGCAGATATTTTGTTGGTGGATATCCTTCCTTACAGCAGAGACCGTGCAATGGCATTTGGCAAATGAGAACAGACAGACCTGACCTGTTTGATGTTCTAGGGCTAAAAATCCCTAAGGATGGTGTTAAAATTTCTCACTGGTGTCAGTGGTGACTCTGCTTTCACCACTTGATGCTATGTATACTCAAATTGGGAGGTGTCTGTGGCTGCTTGCAAAGCTTGGAACACTCATTTTAGAGTAAACAGCAGTTTTGCGTCTCCAACTGCTCTGTGAAATAAAAGTGTGACAGATATTGCGAGCTGCTCTTCTAGGATAATTTCTGGAAGTAATTGCTGTTTTGTTATGACGCTGTGCACCCAGCGCAGCTTATGCTTCTGTAGTACACCTCTCAGCTGGCTTCTATATGTAAGTGTCTTTGGAGAGGAATCAGGTGCCTGCTGTCACTGTGGACAAGGTGGGTGCAGCATGGGCTCACGTGGACAGGATGTGCTTCCCATCACCAGAAGAAACTTTATACTGCCTCAGTTTTTGCTTGATTGGCTGTGTTTTGTTCTATTCACTCCAGAAGGAGTGCTTAGACTTTCCAGAAGGTGTTTTAACACCTGACTCATGTCTGCAGAGCTCCCTCTAAAGATGGTTTGTGCACTGTTAGTCCTTTGTAAGATGAAACATTTTTTCACTGGCAGCTGAGAACACAATGTGTTCCAGGTGGGTCTGGTTTTCTGGTTTGCTTTGCATTCATTATTCCTGTAGCCTGTTGTTTGGAAGTGCAGCTAATAAGCCTGTCCAGTCAGTAAGTAGTGGTGGTTTTTCTTCTTCCTCCCCTAGAAATCCAAGTGCTTAACTATACTACACTGTCTTCTTGTGGATGCTGATCTTCTCCAGAATACTATTCAGGGTGCCACCACATGTAGGTAATTTAAAATAATAGCCTTAGAATTTAAAAAGATAGAAAACTGAGTGAGGCTTTAAGTTTAGGGCAAGATAATTGTCATGTTAAATAACTTTGGGGTTATGACATGCACAGTGGTGATTCTATTCAGAATTATGTTTGTGTTGCTTTCTGTTTTTCTTTAAGATAGCACTGGTTGCAGTGATCTTTAGTTCTACTACCTGGCTATCTGTCTTAGTATGGAGAAAGTTCCCTTCTGCCTACTATTTTAGTATACTTGCTCATTCTGGTTTGGGTATTATATCCTCACTGAAATTATTACAATGACTCTTGTCAGTCCTAGGTCACTGGTAATTTTTAACACAGTCACTGCTTCCAAAACTTATCATTGTAATTTAGCAGTCGTATCAGTAACGTTATTTTGCAGGTGTTACAATATTTTGGTCAATTGAACTAGAGTCAGACACAATGTAAGCAGAGAACACTAGAATATTTATTCCAGTTTCAATTCCTATGAATCTGACCTTGAGGCAGTTGTTAAAAGGAGCCAGCAAATATTTTCAGGAGCTTGCTTTGACATTTTTGAGCTACCATAATGAACAGGAATCAAAATTCAGCTTTGTTTTGACTGGTGCATTAATGCTGGGCCACACTTTTGCTTTCTGCTAAAAGAGAAAATGGATTTGAATTAATAATTTATCAACAGATTCTGCAGCTTGATGTAATTTTCATGAAGACACTATGGCTGATTAATTAAACTGTTAGAAACAAAATCAGGGATTCAAAAACAATGCCATTTTATTTCAGAGGTCCTTGCTTATATTTGTACAACATATTGCATAACTCAATTTTCTGCAAAGCCTAATATATTTCATGGCTTTTTTCTAAAAACTTCTATAAGCTCACATTCTCTTGAAGCCTTCTAGAAGCTCAAAATAAGCGTTACAAATGAAGTATTTGTTGTTTTCACAGGAAAACAGTTACAAGAAAACACAAAAATATACCTGTTTAATCCATTATGAACAAATACTTCAAGCAGATGGAATATGATCTTCATATATCAGTACTTAATACAATTGGTTAATAGTTTTCTTTTTTTATATAATGTATTTAATAAAAATTTAAACATATATTTAAATATGGCAAAGTACTGTAGTTTTATTCCAATTAATGGATTCCAGAGTAACTTTTTTAAATATAATTCAAACCTGTAAACATTAGTCAGTATTTGGTTTTGTGTGATTCTTTTAATGGATCCTCATATTTTGTTTTCAGTACTGTTTAAAATTGTGGCCTTCAGCAGCCATTAAGTGCAAAGTGGTTTGGCAATCCTGTTGTCACCTGCATTCCCCTGGCATTCCATTTGGTGAAGAACTTGATGTGGCAGCAGCCCCTGCACAGGAAGAGGAAAACACAGATTATAAGGATTTATAAATAAGCAGTTAAAAAGTTTTTCCATTTTCCATCCAATATACCAGTAAGCACTGGTATATTACTGCGATTTAGGAATGTTACACCTCAGTTCAGTGCCCCTCTGAGGCTCTCCCAAACTGTGTGCAGTTTTTGACCATGCCAGAGGCTGATGCATGGTAAGGAACATGATATCTACTCAATACTGTGCTCTCTAGCCCAGGGGTCTATGAGACTACTTTTGAAATTAATCCCATTGTCTTACTCAGCTCTTTCTGGTGTTCCATGTCACCACAGGCCTTGCTTTTCAAGACCCAGGATGGTGTTTGGGCACAGGGTGCATCTCCAGCCATCCCGTGGTGGATTCCACCTCTGTCAGCACATACTGCTTGCCTTCACAGGTTTGTGGGAGTGCAGTCTAACTAGCCAGGCCTATCCATATTTGTATTTTGAGCATTGTTCCCCATACCACAGAGGCTTTACTTGGCCTGCTTGATTGCAGTGCATGTTTCACAGCTAAGGATAATCTGGGAAGTAGTGCCCGTGGTTAAGTCCACCCCTCAGTCATCTGTTTTGTTGAGCCCATCTGTTTTGTTGCATCTCTTCTCTGATGACCTGAAGCACCATGGGCGCAGTAAGCCAGAAATAATTCACCTTTATGTTGCCAGTTCAGATCCACCTGAGACGCTTTAATCTTGGCAACCCAATCCATGTGTCCATTGTTGTGATGTTCTTCAGTAGCCCAACTCACAGGTGCTTGTGAATCTACATGATGTGCTTTTACAGCCAGCTTTTCTCTCCAAGCAGTGATGTCTTGTCAATCTTCAGCAGCCCAGACAGGTTAACCTCTATTCTACTAATTTGTTTTTCCATTGTTCCAGCCACCCCTACAGAGCATTTGCTACTGTTCAGTGGTCAGTGTAGAGGTAGGACGCTGGCCATTTCTCTTGTTTAGTGATATCTAAACAACATGCAGATTTCAGGTCTGCAAATTGACTTGATCCACCTTGTCCTGCAGTAGCTTCTGCAATTTGCCATGGAGTAGTCCATGTAGCAGCTTCCTATTTTTATCCCCAAGATATAGCAGGAACCAATGACAGTATTTTCCAATGATGAGGGCATGATGAAGGCATTTTCCTGTTTCTGGTAGCTGGTTATATGTGATTGCCTCCTCAACACATCGCCTTTTCATCATCCTCCTCTGATGATAATCCAAAATGCTTGGCTTCCTTGAGTTCTAAGATCCCTGGTGATTGGCATTTCCTATTTGAGCTTGCTGGGTGATCATCACAACTCACTTACTCCACGTGTTGTCAGTGCCATGATGTGTGGCAGGGACTTTCCCTCTGAACACCCAGCCCAGCACTGGCAGTCAGGGTGCCAGGAGGAGCTGTGCTTTGGTGCCAGTCACTTCCAAAGCAGCTCAAAACCCTTCATAAGGATCTCTTTGTCAGGTAGGGTATAACACGCCTTAGATCTCTTTTATCTCTGAGTCTGAAATCTCACTGGTCATCCTGAAGTCTCCCTGGGTACGTCTTGCCAGAGACTCCAGGAAAGACCATTCTCCCTCTCTGCAGTGTAGAGCAAATTTCCCACATGTGCTCCTGTCCTGACTGGCACAAAGGTTACTGCATGAAGAATTTCCTGTTTAGATCATTCAAAAGCCTGTTATTGTTCAGGACCCCACTTTAAATTATTCTTATTCCATGTCACATAATATTGATAGGGCTTACAATCTGACCGTAATCTGTAACATGCATCCTCCAGAAACCTGCAGTGGCTAGGAAAACCTGTGCTTGCTTTCTCCTGGTTGGTGGGACATAGCTATTTGTTTACCACATTCATTGGAATCTGATTACATCCTTCTTGCCATTTTACTTCTAAAAGTTTAATTTCCTGGACAGATCCCTTGAGTTTGCTTTGCTTTATGGCAAAAACGGCCTTTAGGAGGATCTGGATTTTCTTCTCCCCTTTCTCAAAGAACTTCCTTTGCTGTCTTGCCCCATACAATATCATTGATGTACTTCAAGTGTTCTGGAGCCTCACCCTTTTCTAGTGCAGCCTGGATCAGCCCATGGCAAATAGTGGGGCTGCGTTTCCACCCCCAGGGCAACAGTCTTTTAGTCTCCACTCTCCACTGGACTTACACGTTGGCCATATAGGACTACTAAGGGGTCAGCAAATCTTGCTGACCACTCCCTGGCTCTCCAGCTCTCAAATCATCCCCTGGAAGGGGGTCATGAAGTCCTGGTTGGTGTGATACTGCCAACACTGCACTGTTGTGGTAGCCATCAGTACCTGTTGTTCTTCAGCCCTCAGCAGTCCCACAGCAAAGGGTCCTCTGAGAGACCAGGCAAGATCATCCTTGAGAAAATACCTTTCCCTCACACTTGACACAGCCTCCAGGGGCTGAGAGTTTCTGTGCTCTTCCCAATCGTCTTGTCAATGCCCATATTCCAGGACAGAGATCCCAGCTGCTTGGCTTCACTGCCATCCAGTTTCATATCACGGGCCGCAACAATCAAGAATTAGAGCAGCCAGGTCACCAGCGGCTCTCCTCACTAGTGGTTGAAATCTATTTGTATATCTCACAGCTCACCTGAGGATTAGGATCAGGTGATTATCTCTGGCCCTACCTTTTCCTCCTGTTTTGAGGGCTCTGCTTCCTCTTCATCCTTCACGCAGTCAACTGATTACTTTTTTGATTTACAATTTGATTTCTTTTCTGTATAGGGTTGACTGCTACTGGCAGGGGTTGTTCCTCTGGTTCAGCAGCAGTTTGAGTGGCCATGGTGCCTGTTGGTCTGCTTCCTTTCTCCACCCCTGGGAATGATGTCTACTGGTGAGCAGTGTCCAGTAAACAGTAGCCAGGATAGAACACATTGCATAAGTTTGTGCCTCTCTGGAGCTACTACAGCATTTTTCTTTGACATATTTCATCACTTTAACAGGTTGTTAAAAGTGATGTAGTTGTTCACAGGTGAATTGCTAAACTATTGGTGAAGTCCAACACTTGCTTGTGTCCTCCTATGTTCCATGCCACTCATTACTATCCCACCTCAGAGCAGATCTCTGAACAACCTCCCTAGAAATCTAGATTTGCTGCCTTGTTAATATTTCTCCCCTTGCATCGTCATTGGGTATCTGATCTGGGCCTTCTAAAAGTCATAAAATAACTGTATTCAGTATTTTCAGCAAAACAGTAAGCATAAACACACTTCTAACAGCAGTAATCTCCCTAAAGATTACCCAACTCTTGTTAGAACCTTAATAACGTGACATGCAAGTTATCTCTCTAAAAGTAGCTTTTAGTTCCCAGCACTTACTTTCCAGCTCTTTTTTTTTCTTTAAACGCTTTTTCCGGTCAATGGCAGCCAACTCAGCTTTCAGCAACCGGTAGCGTTTCCGGATTTCCTGCATTTTTGCTTGGAGAACTGTTATGCGCTCGGTGCTACTCAAATTTTGCAAGTCAGCTGCAAGTTAAACAATTTCTGTTAATTATTACATTGCAGCAGTGCACTGAAGCCTTCTGAGGCTCCGATGAAGGGGGAGGTACTCAAATCTTCGTGATGTACTTTGAGGTAGCAGGCAGCACGGCTGAGAAACAACAACTGCTGTTTATTATCCTATCTTGACTGCCACAAATGCACTGAAACTTCTTATGAGAAATACTAAATAAGTCCTGGTTCATTATGGCAAAATGGAAGGGGAAGATTTAAAAAATAATAATCTTAGAGGCTGAACAAGAAGCAGAGAACAAGGAGTAAACAGCAAGAAAGGTAAACTATCAGGATATATGACAAAACTAAGCAAACTGGGGATGGAGTGATTTTAGAGGCAAAAACTCCTCAAACCAGAAAATTCCAAAAGTCTTCTTATAGTATATTGCAAGACCACAAGAAGCATGTCTCAAAGAAGATACTTACACACTTGAAAACTCCATTTGCAACCTTTGGGCAAATGATTATCATGTTCTTTTAGATCAGACTCTCTCTCTCCACTTTGCCCACATTTTCCTGTGGGAAGGTAGATTGTTACAAAACAAAGCAACTTTCCCACCCAACCCAAAGCTTACCAGGAGCTGTCTCACTCTAACATGACATAATCCATCCTGGTGTAGCAGCTTGGCACACAGCTCTCTGCACCACGGGTGCCCAGGTGCAGGACCGCAAAACAGGTCTGTAATGGGGCCCCTCTAATTCTGGCATGCTGGGAAAGGGAAACCTTGCACTGGAAACACCGGCCAGTTTGTTGTTGTGCACGTAGACTCAGATCTGTTCTGTGGATTTATGGGAACTAAAGTCCTACAGACCTAGAAGGTTGATAAAAGTAGGAGACTGTGGCTCCACAATCCATCACAAAAACTGGCAGGTATTTAACTGATTGTGTGTGTGCGTGAACATAAGGAGGTAGGGTAGGGACACACTTCCTGGAAGGAGATTCTTGAATACGATCCAGCTGCTCAAGGTTCGTATAGCCATAGTCCACTCTACTCTCCAACTGGATCACGACAGCAGTGCACTTATTGCTTTAGAATCACAGCCATAAATAAATTGCCTGCATCAGAAAATAAGGCAAAGAGGCACTGTAATGTGTTCATGTAGGTGCCAAAATTATCCACATGTTTTTACTTATGGAGCTATGTAGTCTTTAAAAGACTTTGCAAGACTAGTTATTACATCCTAGCTCCTATTCACCTTTTTTAATATTTATTTCAAACAAATAACATGGTACTTTCACACATTTTATTTCACACTGAGCTGCTGTACTTACTACTTTTATTCTTCTTTTTGATGTTCACTGATGTTTTGAGGCTTGTTTTCTGCTTTTTGGAGGACCTGTCTCTTCCCTGAGCTTTTTGAAGGTTTTTTTGGCCTCTAAACACTATAAAGGAGGAAAAAGACCCCAAAAAGTAGAAGGAAATGGAAATAACAACAATTTTAAAAAAGCCTGAATTTCTCTGCATTTTTTCTTAAAGTATGTACATCTGTGATTAACAAAGCAATAGAGATATCTTTATTGAGGGCTGCCTATTAATCTCATCCAAACTCTCACCTTTGTTGAATGAAACACATTTTATTGCGTTCTTTTAGAACATTTCCAGATGAATTATAGTAACACACCTTAAGGGTGTTTTGAGGAAATTCAGTTAATTGTTAACTGAAATCTGTTGCAATGAAAAAACAAGGAGTATAGTCAGACAAGCATTTTCTTCCTCAGTGTTAAAAATGTTTCAGGTACTACAGAACAGTGAAAGCACCTGTATTTTTGATGAACTGCAAAACAGCCTGTCACTTTCACAAACTATCTTTTGGATCCAGCCTTGCCAACAGTTAAAATGCAGGCAGCAGTACACTGACATCATGTGCACAAGTGTTGGCTGTGTTTATTATCCTCTTCTCTCTGATGGTCTCATCTGGATGAATCTCAAAATTGCATGAATGTGAAACCCAGCTAAGAAGGTCAATGTTTTATATCAGTTTGACTTCCATTTTTCAGAACATTAACTTCACAAGGGTCAATGGTTGCCTAAACATGCCATAACTGGTACTTTCTCCCACAAATGAAATAGCTTACAGAGAATCAAGTTTTATGCAAGAAGCAGTATCTTCTACTTGTAAGCAGGGCACTCAAAATGCTTTCATCTTGCTACAATAAATATTCCTTACACAATGTATTACAGATTATTCTGGGCCTTTCTTTTTAGGTCCAGTATAAAATATCACTCTTACATACTTTTTTCCTCATTGAAACCATCACAATTCCTAACAAAAGGCCAAGAAACTTCCTGGCGGTTGTATTTTTTCACTAGATGATTACACTATTTCCACACATTTGAAGTAGACAGTAGGCTACTATTTCCTTCAAAAATTCACTTCCCAGCAGCAAAACTATAACAGAATGAAGACACATGCGCAATGGTAAAATGAGAGTTGCTTAGGTTGAAGACAGCTCTTTTTACCCTTTCCTTTACCATTTTCAGCATGCTCTGGCTCTGATTGATTACCACTACTGGAGCTGACACTGGCATCAAAACCTTTTGAAGAAATATTTCGGTGAGACTGGAGATCTTGCATCTGTCCTGCAGTATTCTTTGCCTCTGCCATGCTATGTGTTTCACTTGTGATGCTTTGTATCCCTTCTTGGTTTGGTGGCAGACTCCCAGAGACAGTGAGAGTGGATTGATGGTTACTGTACTCTGCTACAGCTACAGTGGAAGGTGACTCAACGGTTGGAGAACTATTTTGCACTAAATACTCCTCTTCCTTCTCTCCGTCAGTTTTATTCTAGGTGAAAGAACAGATGAAAAACCCTTCCCATTTGAGCAATTACAAGACTTCCATCTTAAAATCATGCAGTGCTTACAATTTGTTAAACATTCGATGTGTAGAGGAAAGCTCTCCTCTTCATTTAAAAGACTACAAGTACCTTCCTACGGTCCATGCTGAGACCTTTCTATTGAAGACAGGAGCTATGTCAACACCCAGAGAGATGTGAAAGCAAACACAGCCCGTGCTGTAGAAGCAGAGGGGCCACAGGCACAGCACGGCAGCCGTTGGGCAGTTGGGCAGTTTGTGGCCGTTGGGCAGTTGGGCTGTTCCTTGGCACAGGGGTTCCAGAGGTTCCACCACACTGCAGGGAAAGGAGAGGGAGAAGGTGACCCAGCAGGAGCACTGACTCCTGTGGCAGAAGGAAATTCTTCCTTGTAGCCCACTGCCTGAGGAACCTGACCTATACCTAAATATCAGTTTAAAAAAATTGAAGAAAATGCTCTGAAATAAAATGGTATGGATACACAGGAGTTCTGCTTGCTCTCAAGAATCAGCAGGAGCTCCCAAATTTCACCCCATCGAGCTGGCTTCCAACGCTGAAATGTATTCTTCTAATTTGTTTTCTATTAAGTCATGCATAACTTTATTAAAGGGAAGGGAAGGGAAGGGAAGGGCAGGGAAGGGAAGGGAAGGGAAGGTGAAAATCCCAAAATCTTTATGGGAAAAATTTTCATTCCTAAAAGGCTGGGAAGCCACTTTTCCTGTCATGTATTTATATGCCAATCAAAAGGAAGCAGAATGGGGTGTACTTAAGAACGTATCAAGCCAAATTTGGGAGTAACTAGGGCAAAAAAGGGAGTGAAACTATTTTCTTTTATTCCAATTTTTGGTACTTTCCTTTGGTCTGCCTTTATCATTCATTATACATAAACACAAAACTAAATTGTATATGGTTATGTTTTTTAGCAGCAAATTAAGACATTTGTAAGAGAAATTAGTAGGGAAAAAAAGGAAATAAGGAGCCATATAAAATGGAATTCAGATTTGAATAGAGCAGTCATTTGTGTACCGTAGCCATGATATTTTCTGAAAAATCCTTTTGCCAGGATTTTCCCTCCTGAGGAGCTGAGGACCTCAGGAAAGAAATATAAACAATAACTATCTGCTGCTGTGGAATGCAACAGGTGCATCTTCCATTGGTCCATATGGATTGTTTTCACTTGATGACCAATCACAGCCACTTGAGTTGAGGCAGTGAGCAGTCACAATATTTTGTTATGCATTCTATTCTGTTCTTGTTCTTTGTAGCCTTCTGATCATTCTTTTCTCTCTGTAAAAAGAGTATTGTTTTTATGTAGTATTTTAATATAATATATATCATAAGATAATAAACCAGCATTCTGAAAATTAAGTCAAGCCTCGTGTCTCCACACATGGGAGGTTCCCAACAGTGTACTTTTCAATCTGCTAAGTTTCAGCTAAGGTTCAATTCTCTATGTATTGGGACACAGAGGATGAAGGCTTTATTACACTGGCAGGTAAGAGGAAAAGGTGTGTTTTTTCCAGTCAGCACTGAACAGTAGAGTCACAGGTAAAACACACCACCCAAATGAAAATTCAGTGTGGATCTGTGTTAGGTTTACTTCATATATATGCCTTAAAAATTTAACAATAAGATAATTTCTTACAACTAGACAAAATGTGACCAGGTAATAAAAATGACTTCTGAGCCTGAGTGTCTGCAAAGTGGGTATTTGGAGTTGCTAACCCACTTGGAGTCACTAACTTTCAAGTCACTGACTTTGCACTAAAACTTTCACATTCTTTTTCAGTTCAAGGCTTCCATTTTAGGTCAGAATGATACAAAGCAAACCCTATTCCCTAATATCAAGATATTAACAATAGGCATCTTATGATCTGAGGTTGGGCCTGTTCAATCCAAAACCAAAGAGGTACATTCTCAAAGATTAACGTGTACATCCTCCACAGAATTCCTAGAGGGAAAACAAAGAAGAAAGAGAATTTTTCCAGCTGCTAGATTTATACTCCCAAAGGTATAACATTCTCAGGAAGACAAGGGACTTCAAGGAAGTAGCAAGCCTTGGCAAATTCACTGAAAAGTTCCAGGATTCCTCTGTGTAGCTCATAACATGAAAGAATCTTTTCTTTTTTTTTCCTTTTGGCTGTGATCAAAGAAATTACAAGAGTTATTTTCATATCCAAATACTGGAATATTAGATGAGGGCTCCATTTTAAAATTTAATTTATTTTTAAATAATTTCCCTTCTTCCCCCTCTTCCCACCACAACAAACACTACCCTTCAGAACTTGAAATTTCATAATATGTGTTCCATTTTATTTCAGTAGTTGACTAAAGTAAAAAAAACTTGTATATTGGTAAATGGGGGAAATGGATTTGTAGAGTGTTCTCGGGGCCTGACAGAAGGCCTATGCAGTATGCGTCCGTATGCAAACCTTGAGACAAGAAACGTCGACTTAGAAATGCCATGGAATAGGAAAAATATTATTGAGACAGAAATGGAGCTAGAAAAAAGTTTCAAAAGTTGGTCTTGCATATAAGACTAGGTACTTTAGAGGAATAGAACTATGAAAGATGCATTGTATTGGGACCCAGGAGGAGTAGTTTTAGATGATTTGCTTTAAGCATCTACAGCATAGTATAGCAATTACTGAACAGGCCAAGAAAAGCTTATAGTGTAGTGTAGTTAAGAAATAGTCAGCTTCTGATTGTGATAGCATGAGCTATAACATCTGCATTGTCTCACCCTTCTCATGAGACTAAAAATAGAATAGAAGTTTTTAAAATGCCTCTCCATTGCCCCATCTCTGGGTCAAGAAAAAAGTATTGTCTGACAAGTAAAGTTTCAACAAACTGAGAAAGAAATTAGTACTTGGACATGCAGCTTTCTGAAGGGAAGA